ATAGGAAAGGGTCTGGTCCACGGTAGCAGCGTAATGCATGCCTATTTCTGTACCAGCTTTTGAAATATTGTCTTCCCCAAACAGCTTCCAAAGTTTACCATTCATCCTTTGGAACTTGGGTTTAGGGAATATAATGTGCTAACCCACGTCTGCTGTGTGGCGGGGGTGCCTTGTGTGCAGAAAAGCGGGGTGTAGCTGGACTTTCTTTTGGGGCCGCCAGACTGCAAATAACGACACAGAGATTTATTATGAATTATGAGTGCTTGACCGTTTAGCTTAGACTTGTTCCCAACTAGCTCTTATAACTCATATTCACCTGTTTCTATTAATCTATGTTCTGCCCCACGACTTTTTGCCTCTCTCCCATTTTGTAAGTCCAACCTGCTCTGCATCTCACTGGTGTCTCTCACCTAGATTCTAACCCTGAGCTCCTCTCTCTGCCCGGAAGTCCCGCCTATTCTCTCCTGCCTAGCTATTGGCCATTCAGCTCTTTATTAAACCAATCAGAAGGCCCCTTAGGCAGAGACACATCTTCACAGTGGACAAAAAGATGATCCTACCACAGCAGGGAGGTACAGACGGGGCTTCAAGTGGCACCACATTCTTGCTTGATGCAGGGACACCCAGAGCCCTCCGGCATTGGGTGGGGGGGGGCAATACCTCCCTTTGCACTCACCAGAATGGATTCAGCCTGAGCACATCAGTAGCTCAGCCTCATTCAGAAAAATCAATAGGGCTTCCCTGTGTTGTGCAATGTGAAAGTTCCTAAAAGTCAGAGGTGAATCAACCTCCCCTGCAACTCAGCCAGTCCTGAGCACCGGGTGTCAACTTCTGAGGCTATGCAGGACATGTGCTCACACCCACACCCTTACCCCAAATCAGCGACGATTCTGACTTCTGCCTCACATTGCCAGTGCACCAGAGGAGCTGGCAAGTAACACCATGTGGTAGACATTGTTACAGAGCCAACATCACCATTTAACCGGGAAGAATTACTTCCTGCTTGCATCCTATTGACTAATACGTTTGCTTTATTCATTGTCTTGGGTTTCTATGTAAAGGCCTTTTGAGTTCTGGCCTATGGCAAGCCTTAATGATCCCGGTCACCTCACGCTCACGTACCACCCGGTTACCCCAAAGTGCTTTCCATAACTGTATCCATTTCTTTCCCTTGCAGGGAAAGAAAAGCAAGTCTTTCTTATACCCTTTTCATAGGTGAGGCAGTCAAGGTACAAAAAGAGCAGCTGGCTTGTCTGGTCAGCGCCCGAGAAGCTGGAGGCAAGTTCAGCCCCGGGACCAAACCAAGACAGCCTCTCTCCCTTGTCTCTTGTCCTACCAGATGGCAGGCTCGCTCAGCTAGTGGTACGCGTGTCCGTTTCTGCACACATCGCTTTGGAGCTTAAGTTCCTGCTTTCTTGGGCCGTCTACAGCCTATCGTCTTCCAGGTCTTTTTGTTTAACTCTGAAGTGTATCTCGGAGTTTCCATCCTTGTCCCTGCCTGAATGTGTCCCCCCCCCAGTCTCTTGTCCCCTGCAGTCCCTGTGGGTGAGCCACAATCCATGGGCACTTGCTGAACCCCCGTTATGTGAGAGATCTTGAGCTGCGACTGGAGTGAGGCCTGGCCTCTCTTTCCTGGGAGCGCAGCCCGGTGGGAAGCGCCACAGGAGGTGTGACTTCACCTCGCTGCAGGTGCTGGGGAAATATGAGTGCCTTGCAGGATGAGCAGGATGAGCGGGAGCCTTGACAGAGGGAGAAGAAAGAGTCCGCTGGGCGGGAGCATTACGGGCAACCGTGCAGAGGTATGAATTGGCAGGTGTGTTTGGGGCCCTGCCAGGACCTGGCACAGGTAGGACAGAGACCAGGAGTCTTGAACATGAAGTGGGGGCTGAGTGAAGATCTACTTTTCTAGTATGGGGTGTGAATTTTCTCTCTGAGCCCTTCAGGGTTAGGCCGGGGCTTGATGTGGTCAGGGTTAAGTTTCACCAGTTAGAATTGTGCATTTAAAAAAAAATGAATTAAGGGAGTAGAGGGCAGCTTTACTTTGTGTGTGCCTGTAACGGCAGCACTTAGTAGGAACCCTGACATAGTAGGTATCTGCTGTCGTCTGAAAGGATGGTGTCTCGGAAGCTCACTGTAGGAATCCAGTATACAGCTTTGCACTAAGTCGGGGGGGAGGTGGCAGGCAGAGAAGGAGAAGGGGCTACACAAGGAATCAGAACCCAGGTCAACACGTTTACCACAAAGAATTTAATATGGGGACCTGGTCCCAAAGGTATTGGAAAAGCAGGAGCGAAACAGAACGAAGCGCTGAGGGTGACTCAGAATCTAACATCAGGAAGTCACTGTCACCCTAGGACTAGGGGACAAGGTGGTATCACCTGATCCTAGAGCCAGAATCCTTACGGTGAGCTAGGCTTATGAAGACAGGGTGCCGCGGGCTGGGGTCCCCAGGAGCTACTCGGTAGGGTAGGAGCAGGATGGGGCAGGAGGAGCAGCCGGGCTCGCTGCAATCCAAGAAGACTTCAGTGGCCTCCAGCTGGGAGCTTGGAAACTGGAAATGCAGAGGTACAGGCCCTGGCAGGAGACCCGGGCGTTACCCTTCCACCATAGAGTCACCGGCTGCGAGGATGGTCAGTGTGAAGCAGTTCCCAAGAGTCTCTGCTCTGCCCTTGCTGCAACCGGGGAGGAAAATCCCGTCTCAAAGCGCAGGGTAGATGTGGGGGGTTCATCACCAGACAGGGTACTACAGCCGGATGCCCCAAGCCGGGAGAAGTGTGCCTCCTGCTAACTCTCCTCTGCCTCCCACCTGCTAGTGGTCTTCCAGAGCCTCCCAATGGCCATACTGGGCAAGCGAGCGCGAGAAAGTGGGTTTGTGAAGGCCACTGCCGGGAGATGAGCAGGGTAGGAGAGGCACACGTTTAGCTGTGGTGTCCCGCACAATGGTGGTCTGTGGCGGTGTAAAGGGGTTAAGATGAACTCGTTCTACTGTACACCAGGCTGGCCTGGAACTCACGAGATCCGCCTGCCTCTGCCTCCGAGATTAAAGGCATGCGCCACCACCTCCCGGCTTAGAGAAACCTCTTAAAACCTGAGAAGAAGCCGGGCGTTGGTGGCGCACACCTTTAATCCCAGCACTCGGGAGGCAGAGGCAGGCAGATCTCTGTGAGTTCGAGGCCAGCCTGGTCTACAAAGTGAGTTCCAGGACAGCCTCCAAACCCTGTCTCAAAAAACCAAAAAAAAAAAAAACCCGTGAAGATCAGCTCCCTGCCTTCCTGGGAGCTGTCCTGTCCTGTACCTGGCTGACCCTGGCTGCTCTCCTCTGAACAGCTCTCCTAACCCAGGTCCAGTGCGTTGCAGATGGAGGCCTCCCCGATGGTTCCTTTCTACCCAAATTGTAGTCTCGCAAATGTAGTCTCTTCGGAGACTCCGTGAGTGCAGTTAGCATGACCGCTTCACTTAGCCTTCGAAGGAGACTCGGGGGACAGACTTCGAAGGAGACACAGCAAAGAGGTTAAGAGTTCTAGGCTTCCGTTTCTTTCTCAAATGGGGTAAAAAAGTAACCCTGTAAAGTGAGCGTAGGACTAAAGTGTATCAACGTGTGCACAGGGCTAAGACCAAGGAGCCTGTCCCTCGACCCCAGGCCACAACTGATGCCAACCATCACTACCGGTTCAGTTTGTCTAATCTCCAGCGTCTAGTCCTTGGAGATGCTTAATTAGCGTTTGCTGAATGGCTGGAGAATTAATAATGAAAAGGATTTATTCACGGGCTTGACCTGGTTTTAGAAAATTAATTATTCAGCATAAGCACAAGAAAGGATTTTGATAATAGGTATCTACGCTGAGTTGAGGATCCAGGGAATCCAAACTGACCTGGTTTGCGAATGGGGGTGAGGAGGAGGAGGGGACCAACACAGAAAACCTAACACCACAAAATGTGACTGCAAAGCCGCTTCCAGAGCAGGGTAAGCCAGTTTCAAGGGCACCCAACTCATGCTGCTTGAACGCGCACACACGACCTTGTCCGGGTGCAGGTAGCCTACCCCTGGCGGTGGATACTCCAATACCCTGGACCGCACTGGCGCCCTAGACCCTAGGGCGTGCACGGAGGCGGGAGGAGACAGGAATCTGGCGTCTGCCACGTGGGCCCCTTCCGCCAGTTCCCCACATCCTTTGTTTCCCACCGGCCGGAGCTCAGGAAGCTCTTTCTGCGAGTCACCGCGAAGGGGCGGCCCAGGAGCCCGGAGGAGCTATTTCCGTGCAATCCGGGCGGGCGGCGGGCGCGGGAGGGGCGTGGGGGTGGAGGCAGAGCAGAAGGCCCAGTGTTTGCTTTTATTTCATCCAACAGAAGGTTCTATTTGTGGAAGCGAACAGACGCTGGGGATTAGAGCTGGGAGGAGGCAGGAAAAGGAAGAAAAAAAAAAAGCCACATTCACTACCACGCACAGGTCTTCCCCGGAACTACCGCGTGGGGGGGGTGAATGACTGATAATGGAATTCATCACCTTTCCTCTCGCCCCTTCCTCCGGCTGGCAGCCGCGACTCGGCGGCGCCCACAGCTCCACCGGGAGCTCCCCGAGTGCAAAGCCCCGGGGAGGTCCCGCCGGAGCGAGAGGCTCGACCGCTGGGGCGCAGCCGGCGGCGGGTGCACAGCCCGGAGGTGAGCGCGCCGCGCGGCCCGGGGAAGCTCGCGAGCCCTTGTGTTGTGTGAATGGTGCGCGCGCGCGCCAATCAGCGGTCGTTTCGCCCCCGCCGCCCCGCCCACTTCCCCGGGACCCTGACGTCACGGGCGCTTCTCCTCCGCCCCCCTCCTCGGGCTCCCGGCGCGGAGCCCGCGGGCCAGCGGGGAGGGCGCGCGCCGCCTGCTGCCCAGCCTAGCCCGGGGGGCGTGTGCGCGCGCGCGCCCGGGGACGGCCCGGGACGTTGCCACCTGCGCCCCGGAGCGCGCCGCCGGGAGCATCCCCGGGCCTCCGGCCACCCCCCCCCCCACTGTCGTCCCAGCTTCCAACTCCGCCACCCCTCCCCCCTCGCAGTCTCCTCCCTCCGCTCCGGTGACTGGGAGCCCGGCGACGGGGCCCGGAGTCGTCGCAGCCACCTCATTGCACAACCCGGCTTCCCAACTGTTTACACAGCCCGGCCTGTGAGTGTGTGTGTGTGTGTGAGTGTGTATACAGCGTGAGTCACCGGGAGGCGGAGGAGGTGGAGGAAAAGGAGAAGGAGTGCACTGGCCGGGATCAGTGCGGCGCACACACTCATACCCAGTCACTCTCTCTGAGCGCCGCTCGCCCGGAGCCCAGGAGCGCGCAGGAGCCCGAGCGGCGCGGAAAAAGTTGGGCCGGCTTTTTTTTTTTTTTTTTTTTTTATACTCCGGACTAATTGCTTTGGGAAGTGGCGTTTGCTCTGCGAAGCCGCCGAGCCTGCGGAATCCGACCCTCGAGACTCCAGCACCCGGGAACTCGGGCCGCCTCCACGTCCCGGACTGAAGCCACAGCTTCGGCAACAATAGCGGCCCCCGCCGTCGGCGAGGTGCCCGGACCTGGTGGCTGCGGGAGTCTGGGGACCCCAGCCGGTCACCCCGCCTCGGACGCGTGGCCAGCGTGGTCCTCGTGGGGGACGGCAGCGTACGGGGACGGCTCTCGTTTGGCTCCTCTCGGGGACCGATCCAAGCTCCATCCGCAAACTCCTCCATCCCGAGGGCTGGAAGAAGTCTCGGCGCCGATCCGGGGATTTACAAAGCCGGGGCCGCTCCGGCCAGGGCCGCGATGCGGGTCGGTCCCGTGCGCTTTGCACTCAGCGGCGCCTCGCAGCCCCGGGGTCCGGCTCTCCTGTTCCCGGCTGCCCGGGGGGGTACCCCGGCCAAACGGCTGCTGGACGCGGACGACGCGGCGGCCGTGGCGGCTAAGTGTCCGCGCCTCTCTGAGTGCACGAGCCCCCCAGACTACCTCAGTCCCCCGGGCTCGCCCTGCAGCCCGCAGCCTCCACCCTCCGCTCCGGGGACCGGCGGCAGCTGTGCGAGCGCACCGGGGCCCAGCCGCATCGCCGACTACCTGCTGCTGCCCCTGGCTGAGCGCGAGCATGTGTCCCGGGCGCTGTGCATCCACACCGGCCGCGAGCTGCGCTGCAAGGTGAGCATCCTGGGGCCGAGGGTTGCGGGCCTGGGTGGTCTACCCAAGTGCTTGGCTTCCGGCCCACCCCGATCACGCCCCGGCCGGAGCTTGGCTTTGGCGGAGCACATAAAAGAGCTTGGAGTCGGAGAAAAGAGGGGTTTTGGTGAGCCTCGCCCTTTTGGAGGTTGAGGGGTTTCTTGGGGAGTGTTAATGGGGAGAATGGGGAGGGTTCGGCGGTGTAGAGGAGGTGCAGGTTTGGGTTCTTGTCTCTGTTCTTTTCTTTGGCGCTCCGCGTAGCTAGCGCGTGGCGTTCCATTTAAGTTTGGAATTGCAATGGATTCCAGGGCCATGCCATGGCCCTGCTCTCATCCCCCTCCTCCCCCTGTCCTGGAAGGACGCCCTGCAGTGGGTGCCTCCTCCCGGCTTGGAGTCACTGGCAAGCTCTCAGCCGGACACAGGCTCAGCGTAGACGGTGTCGGGCTAGTACCCAGGGGGTTCTGGCTTGAACTCCCGCTGGTGTCAGAATACAGCCCACTCCAGGGAGTGGCGGGAGGGGGGGTAAGCCTGGGAGGGGCTTCACGCCTGCGTGGGAGTGTTGAGAAGCTCCCAGGGGCTCGCTTCCACTCGCTTTAGTTTGCGTCCGGCGGGCGGTTTTCATGGCAACCTTAGGAGGAGTACAACTAGATACGGGATGGCCCGGCTCTCCCGGAGAGCGCGTAGTCGTGGACGGTCTGCGCTTTGTGAGCGCGACGCTTGGACACCCCCGAGAGCCCCCGCCGACTGCTTTTCACTCCCCTGGAGTTCAAGTCGCTCCTGGGTTTTCAGCAACTCACCTGAACTCCCCCCCTCCCCGCTTGCTGCTGCCACCTACTGTCCACCCGCGTGAAATCTCAGATGCGTGGTCAAGCCCAGAGGAAGAAACTTTTCTTGGTGGATGGGAGCAGTTTTGGGAGAGAAACTTGTGTGGAGGGCTGGGTGGGGCGGGAGGAGAGAGCAGCAGAGGGATTTCCCCCCCTCCCCCCCGTGGTACCAGAGCAGCCACCTCAGAGGTGGGGTGGGCCTGGGTCATTGTGCAACCCCTTCCAGTTCCTCCGAGCAGATAATAGCTGAATCCAGATGGTGACAGCCCGTGTGTCACCATTTCCAGTTGCGTCTAGGATATGAGTAACCGGAGTGAACAAAAGGCCCTTAAAGAGACCGGCCAGCAGCTTCTAAGAGGAGTTGCTATCCGTCCTGTGGGTGGGGCACCTAAGCTGGGGGGCGGGCGTGTGTAAACAAACAGATGAAAACGGCTTTCAGAGGTGCCCATCCCCTCCTGCCAGAAGGGATCTCCAGACTGCCTCCACCTGAATCACAGCCGTAGCAGTCAGTCTCTCCCTCCAAGTCATGGGGAATGCTCTACATGTTGGCTGCCTGTGTTTCCCCTTGGAGGCCACGACACCACCACGCTCCTTGACTGTGTAGTGCCGAGCCTTCTGCGGTTGACGGTTGGTTGCTTTTCGTCCTTGTTAGGGATGCCGGGGTCCGTTCCCTTAGCTGCCTTATAGCATTATCTATTGGGAAGGTCCACATCGGGCTTGGCTCCCGGGAGCATCATGATGGCCCCTGCAAGACAGAAGCATGTGTGGAAGGCGATTCTTCCCATCATCCTATGCACCAGGGCAGGCTTTGGAAGTTGCTAGTCCCAAGGTGTGACTTGTTTTGAGGGTGTCGTAGCAGCTGTGGCTGCGTAAGTGGCAGAGAGAAGGGGATGTCCAAAGGTTGAGGACTTCAGCCCCGCTTCACGTAGGACCCGGCAGGCGGCCCCCCGACTTTTCTGGCCCCTAACTAAACAGGCCGCTTGCTCTCCGCAGGTGTTTCCCGTTAAACACTACCAGGACAAAATCAGGCCTTACATCCAGCTGCCGTCGCACAGAAACATTACTGGCATCGTGGAGGTGATCCTCGGGGAGACCAAGGCCTACGTCTTCTTCGAGAAGGACTTTGGGGACATGCACTCCTACGTGAGGAGCAGGAAAAGGCTTCGGGAAGATGAGGCCGCCCGGCTTTTCAGGCAGATCGTTTCCGCCGTTGCCCACTGTCACCAGTCGGCCATCGTGCTGGGGGACCTGAAGCTTAGGAAGTTCGTCTTCTCCACGGAGGAGAGGTGAGCAGCTGCCACAGCACCTGTGGCCCTCTGGAACCAAAAAACCCGAAGATACCCGTCCTGCAGCTAGGCGCAAGCCAAGGTCAAGGCTCAGGTCTTGCCTGTTTAGTATTAAGTCGTGCTTCTGGGAGTTCGCGGTCAACCTTGCTTCTTTCTCTGCCCTATTGGACGGAGGGTAGCGGAGCCCGGAGACACCTTGGTGCTTTTGTGGATGCTGCCTGTTGACGGATGCCCCTTCCTATTTCTGTCCCAGGCTCAGACTTAATTTCTCTGGTCTGGGAGGTCTGTCTGCTGGGGAAAAGGTGTTCATCTGTCCTGGAAAGCACAGACTCCGAGAGGTGGTCAAATCCTTGCTTCCATCAAGCGGCCCTGCTGTGCCTAGAAGGCATTGCAGAGCTGGTTAGGCTGTTGTGTTTGCAGAATTCCAGCCGTCCCGACCACACTGCGTTTCTGCACTATTTTAGCATAGGTACACCCCCCCCCCCAGCCTGGTTTGCTTACGTTTTCTGGTGAGTTCTTAGCCATCTCACATCTCATCGGCCCCATCTTCAGAAAATAACCGCATTGAATAATAAATGGAAGTTGGCTAGCGTGCACTGCTAAATATAGTTCTTGGCTTACCTCATAAAGGACAAGATGTGCTTGATAAGGGACTGAGGAGACATTAGGATTTGAAGTGGAGGTTTCAGCAGGAGAATTCAGGAAGCTGCGTGAGATACCCCATACTTCATTCTGTGGACAGACCACATCTGTGGTGGGGAGTTGTAGACTCTAGAACTGTCCTGTTGGAGTGAGTTACACGGGACGTACCCTACCTGGTCACTTTTACCTTTAACTCTGGGGGGCCCCCTCTAGAAAGTACAGGGTTGAAGTCCTCAAAGTACGAGTTAGCGTCTGACCTTGCACTAGCTATTGAAACATACTGATTGGCAAAGAGGAGCAAACTGTTTGCCGTGAAGAAGCGTCCAGTTCCTGGAATGTGCTTCTTTGATAATACGCTGCTGCCTCTTTTTGAAACATGTGCCACACACCTCACTGGTTTTTGAAATCTGCATTGCACAGGCCGGTGTCATGGGCATGGGGTTTGGTAACCCGAGGGTTAAGCAACGGCAGGCTGACGCTATTCATGTAACCAGCACAGGTGCAGGGTTTTAGTACTACAGGAGCCAATCAGGGGCAGACAGTGTGGGTTGAGTCATATTTTCCGTTTACAGAACCAATGGGTATTTTACATAACAGGGAGGTCACGCTGAGGACACACCGAAGTTAGCACATGTATACTACACTCCAGGGAACAGGAAGGCTGGAAAGAGAAAAGAAAGAAAGAAAGAAAGAAAGAAAGAAAGAAAGAAAGAAACAAACCAGACCTTTGAGAGGAAAAGGAATTGGCCGAATGTTTGCATGTAACTTACTGAAATAGTTCTGTTTCGGAGAAGCAGGCACCGGAAATTAGAGGTGCCCCCACGTGACCGCGGGGGATCTAGGAGATGTGGGTGGCTGGTTCTGCATTAGGAGGCACCTGCAGCTTCGTAAGCGTGCCTTTGACCAAAGGTCTTCTGGATTATAGTCTTGGTATCTGCTTTCCCCTCGCATTCCCCTCTGACGTCTTCAACCGTGATTCTCCTCAAGACAGAGACTCGTGTAGGATAGATACCCTGTACATTGATCTGCAGTCCCTGTTTAGGGACCCCGCAGTCCTCAGACCCATCAACCTCTTGTGTTTCTTCACGTAATTTCTCTGTCTCAGCTAAGTGTTTTTACAGTGAGACAGCCCAGGAAATGTCATTGAACGTTCCCATTGTGGTTATTGCAGCTGGGGCTCAGGTGAACAAAATTTGCTTGGTGTGGGAAGTAGTGTCAACTGGCCTGGGCTGTCAGTGTCGTAGTAAGAGACGAGTGGCCTGTAGGAGACATAGGCGCTACCTGAGGAAGGAGGATACATATGTTTGCTCTCCCCTGACAGCTTTTGTAGAACATGCCAGTCTTCTCCTGAAACCAGCTCTCCATTCTGCAATGTGAACTTTGTCAATTGTGCAACCCTATTAGGATATCTCTTACAAGCCCTAGCATCGTGAATTTTATTTGAGACTTTGCATCATACCCCTCCGCCCCGGGGCCTCTCAATACTTTGCAAATATTTATTGCAGTTTGTATTGGTTTGTGAAATCGCTCGTCTTGGTCGCTTGCAGGCCAGCGTTTACTGGATGAAGGGTAAATGGCATTCCTGCGGCCTTGGCTGTGAGTGCCTGTGGACACTGTTGTTGGGAAGGCCTTGTTTTTCCGTAGCAGCCGGTCTGAAAGTAATCGTTCCATTTTTCTCTCCACAGAACCCAGCTTAGGTTGGAAAGCCTGGAAGACACACACATCATCAAGGGTGAAGATGACACATTGTCAGACAAGCATGGCTGCCCGGCCTATGTCAGCCCTGAGATACTCAACACTACTGGGACCTACTCAGGGAAGGCAGCGGATGTTTGGAGCCTCGGCGTGATGCTCTATACACTTTTGGTTGGACGATACCCCTTTCATGACTCAGACCCGAGTGCCCTTTTCTCCAAAATCCGCCGGGGACAGTTCTGCATTCCTGAGCATGTTTCCCCCAAAGCCAGGTGCCTCATCCGCAGCCTCCTTAGAAGAGAACCTTCCGAGAGACTCACAGCTCCTGAGATCTTGCTCCACCCCTGGTTTGAGTATGTCTTGGAACCAGGGTACGTTGACTCAGAAATGGGAACTTCGGACCAGATTGTTCCCGAATACCAAGAGGAAAATGACATTAGTACCTTCTTGTGCTGATCCCAAAAACAACCTCAGGAACCTCGTAATTCTCACACATGGTATTTCCATTTCTGACGGCGGGCGGGCCCTCTTACGCGGTGCCAGCCAGATTTGGGGACCGAGCACCATCGTCCCTATGGGGCTCAACGTGGTGCCACCTCTGTGGGCTGAGTGACTTGATTTGAGCAGCACACACTCAAATTAGCTCCTCGGCAGGGGTGTCCCCTTCTGGATGAACCTTCGCGGCTGTCCCAGCGTCAGATACAAGGTCGCAGCGTGTTTGGAAGCTAGTGGAAGCGTGTGGCCATCCCACATGGCCGGGTGTAATGAACTTGAACATTTGAACGGGAACGGAAGCACGTCGCACAGTGGCATTTAGAGCAAGGTGGCAAATCGACTTTGAAGGCTGCGGTTTCTCCGAACAGAAGTTTCCTTTTCTTTAACCCTCATCCTTGCTTTACACTCACCCGTGACTGCTCCGGTGTTGGGACAGATTGAGAAACTGTGCCTGAACCCAGACTGTCCCCCAGAACTTTCCAAGACCTCCTATGCAATAATGCCGCGCCCCTCCTCCACCCTGGAGCCTATCCTCTGCAGCTCTGAGAGCACCCGCCGGCCCATTGTGGAAAAATCTGGAAGATGCAAACTCCTGGTTGAAAACCTCTGAGCTGGGTCAGACAGCGATGTTTTTCTTTGTTTTGTTTTGTTTTTTTTTTTAATTAATTTGATCACTTGGTATCTGTTAGCTCTTGAAGCGCTCATCAAATACAGCATTTAGCCTTCACCCCTCCCCAAGACCGGGTGCTCTCTCAGGAGCATATGTGAACTGTCTTTGGGCTTCAAAGAAAGACAGTCGTGGAAAAGTCTCAGATATGCAGAATGAAACTGGACTCTGCCCTCCCCATGGGACGCTGTTGCCTCTGGTATCCAGGGTCTTCAGCTCCTCCTCAAAGGCTCTTTGGATCTCACGTGTTGGGTGGCTCTGGAGGACAGGGTGAACTCAGAGACGTGGCTGGAAAGGACCTTAAACGTCCATCCGATGCATAGTCTGCCTTCTGGCTGCCTACCGCGAATCCCCTGCTTCAGCCTCCGCCTGAGTGCTTCTGGGGATGGAAACACGTACTCCCTGACAGAGAAGCTTCTCGGAGAAGCTGTCAGAAGTCGCATTAAATTAAAAAAAAAAAGATGAAATAACAGTCACTGTCTGGTGGTTTAAACGGGTAACAAAAACAGAACTGTGTTTGACAAATGGCACAGAAGCAGGCAGACGTCTTCAAGGGCTATGCCTAGGCAGACTACTAACATTGTGAGAATGCCTCGTATACCTCACGTACTGTGTATTTTATGTTTGTACATACATTTTACCTTTTATACATATGTCCGGTTGTTGCCGTTTGGCTCTGAGGCTTGTTTCGTCGTCTGTGTTTGTCTGAGGAACCTGTGTGTCCAGGGCCGTGTGAAATGTGAATGATTGTTGGCCGTACGACCTTGGCAGGAGGGTGGGACTCTGGGAGGAGCAGGGACAGGCCACTGCCGGGGTTGCCCAGCGCTTGTGTCTGTGATACACTCCCCGGCTGAGGACTCGGGGGCTGTGATATGCTCCCCGGCTGAGGACTCGGGGGCTGGCCTGGGCATTCGCCTGGACAGCTGGGAACACTAGGTCTCCTGTGCGTGAGTGGAAAGGTAATAGCGACACACTGTTGGTGACTCTCAGAGAACTTTGAATAAATCTGGTTTCGTAAAGAAGTGTGGTGAGTCTCCTCTGCATGCACACGGCCTTCCTGTAGCCGTCCACAATGAGATGGCCTTTGACTTTAGGGATTTAGTGTCTCACAGAAGACAGGAGAGTTAGACTTTAGGGGTTCAGTGTCTCAGGAGAGTCAGACAGCTGTGGTTTGGTTGTTTTTATTGACAGGGTCTTTTTTTTTGTTTTGTTTTGGTTTTTCGAGGCAGGGTTTCTCTGTATTGCTTAGGAGCCTGTCTTGGAACTCACTCTGTAGACCAGGCTTGGTCTCCAACTCACAGAGATCCGCCTGCCTCTGCCTCCTGAGTGCTGGGATTAAAGGTGTGCCACCACCACTCGGCTTGACAGGGTCTTATATAGCTCTGGTTGGCATGTGATTTGCTATGTAGACCAGGCTGGCCTGGAACTCAGATCTTTCTGCCTCTGGAATTAAAGGCATGTGCCAGGATACCTGCCTAGAATCTGCTTTATTTGTTCATTGGACATGTGTCCTTTTTTTTTTTTTTTTTTTTTTTTTTTTTTGGTTTTTTCGAGACAGGGTTTGTCTGTGGCTTTGGAGGCTGTCCTGGAACTAGCTCTTGTAGATCAGGCTGGTCTCGAACTCACAGAGATCCGCCTGCCTCTGCCTCCCGAGTGCTGGGATTAAAAGCCTACACCATCACTGCTGCCCGGTTTTTTGTTTTTATTGTTTTTCTTTTCGTAATGTGAATTTTTTTTTGAGTTGAAGAATTGGCAGGCTTTTGATAGCATGGACGGTTTACATCTGTTTTGCCATCCCCAGTACTTTGGAAGCTGAGACAGGCACGTCAAGAGTTCAAGACCAGCCTGGGCTAAGCAAGCATGTCTCAAAACCAACGGGAAGAATTGGCTGGCTTTCAGTGTCTTAGGGTAGGGAAATGGAGAATTTGAGAGATGCTATGAATACCCCAGAAGAATGTCACAGGACTCCAAACAGAATTTTACTACCTTCCTTCATCTTGATAGAGAGAGGGTTGTGTAGGTTCCAGAAGGCACCGCCCCTCCAACTTTAGACCTAATTATAGTAAGAATAATGACATTTCTTCCCACCACTGCTCGCTCTGACAGTGTAACTATGAAAACAAGGAAAGACTGCTTAGAAAACATTGGCCTGGCACAGAGTTCAGGAAGACGGCTGAATTAGGTTCCTAGCTGCACTGTGTCTTCAGAATCTCTTAACAAAGGAAATCAGACTGATTAAAGCTGTGAGGCGCTGGGCGTTGGTGGCACACACCTTTAATCCCAGCACTCGAGAGGCAGAGGCAGGTGGATCTCTGTGAGTTCAAGACCAGCCTGGTCTACAGAGTGAGTTCCAGGACAGCCTCCAAAGCAATACAGAGAAACCCTGTCTGGAAAAAAAAAAAAACTGAGTAAGGAGTAGGGAAGGGCTCACAAGTCTCCCAGCGTGAGGCCCTGCAGGTGGCTGGTGGCCCCATGCCCGTTGATAGCACAAAAAGATAGGAAGTCGGGAGGGCATCAAGAGGTAGATCTGGGAAGAAGTGGGCAGTGAATGTGATCAAAATATATGCAAGTCCCTTTATCCCAGCACTCGGGAGGCAGAGACAGGTGGATCTCTGAGTTCCGGGCCAGCCTGGTCTAGAGTTCCAGGACAGGCTCCAAAGCTTCAGAGAAACCCGGTCTTGAAAACCAAAACAACATATATATGTATGTGTGTATGCAAGCCAAGTATGAAATTCGCAAAAGTCAGCAAAGCCACAGGGTTGGGGAAGCTGCTCTTTGAGAACAGGTTCCTGCTACCAAGCCTGACAACCTTAATTTGACTCCCAGGATCCACCCTGTGAGAGACGAGAACTGACCTGTAAATTGTCCTTGATCTCCATACACTGCTGTGTGCGGTACAAACCACCATACCCCATGTACCGTGAATTCCCATAAAGACAAAGATAGAGAACATAAAATGGGACCTGGGTTCCCCAGGCTATGTGTGTCTCTGCTTGGCACTGCTTTCCAAGGCACCCACTATGGGAGACAGTGTTTCCTGGTTTTTTTTTGTTGTTGTTTTGTTTTGAATTACTTATGCATTTGAGACAGGGTGCTATGTTGTAACTCAGTCCTGCCGCAGTCTCTCTAATGCTGGGATTACAGTGTGGGCAAAAACAAACAAACAAATGAGTATTTTATACCTGAGTACTGTATTCATACCATCTGTCTCCCCCAATTCCTGTCGTCCCCTTCAGTCTCTTCTCAGAGTCACAACCTTTTCTTTAACTGCTGTTAACACACACACACACACACACACACACACACACACACGCACGCACGCACGCAAACACACCCCGATGAGTCCATTTAACGGTGCTCCTCTCTGTGTGTTTAAGGCTGGCTGCTTGGAATAGGATGGCCTTAGAGAGACTGAATTTTAACAACGTAAGCATGAAGTCTAACTGAGACACTTGGCACAAGTGCCAGGTGACAGTTTTTTGGTCCTTTGCTAACTAGCGGTGACATAGGAAGGCAGACACATGGTGTCATTGTAGTGTGGGTCCTGGGACTCAGGAACCATAAAGAGCAGAAAGTTCAGAAAGCCAGAGGCCACCTGGGAAAGGAGCAAACGGCAAGGATGCTGGCGGAGCATGGAGGCGCCTTCCTCTAATCCCAGCACTTGGGAGGGTGAGGCAAGAGGATCAGGAGTTCAAGGCCAGCCTCAGCTACATGAGACCCTCGACTCAATCTCCCCAAGTAAAAATCCAGAAAACCAAAAACGAAACTAGGGTTCGGGCTGGCCCGGTCTCTCCGTGAACAGAACCTTCAACCCTGAGCTCCTGGAGAACCCCAGAACCCAATGCTGCAATGCCTCCCGGTTCCAGTGAACCAGGTTGGCTTGGTGCAACTCCCTGGGCACACAGAGTGAATACTTTGGACTTCCCTAGCTTTAATCTGAGGATTTCAAAACACTGCAAGCAATTAAGGTTACAACACTCCTTTGTACTGTTGTTACATGTGTCATGGAGAGAAATATGGGTCAGGATTGGTCAGGCTGCCATGTGATATCACAAACACATACATTTCAAACAGATCAGGGGGCAGCTACTCCCAGATGGCTGAGAGGAGATGTCCATGAGTGGGTCCCTCACTTTCTTTTTCTCTTGTGTCCTTTATATATTTGACATTTGAGTAGGTCATAACACCGCAATGTCATACTATCTGTAAGTCCTGAATAAATGGCCTCTCTCTCCTTCTCCCTCTCCTATCTCTTTCTCTGACTCTCTCCTTCCTCTCTCTATCTCTGTCTCTGTCTCTCCTCTTTCTCTGACTCTCTCTCTGACTCTCCTCCCCCCCTCTCTGTGGATGGGTGCGGGTGCGCACGTACACGTGTGTTAACATAGGCTAGGCTGACACTGGACTCAGCCCTGTGATGGCTTGGGTTCACAGGTGAGTGCTATTACACCTGGAATTTCTAGAAGTTTTATTCTTTCACCCCCACCTCTACAACATACTTTCTAGAAGCTTCCCTCTTTTTGTACACACACCAATTGAGTGAACTAGGCAAGCCAAGTATTTCCCTGTCTTGTGATTGAGAAAGTGAAGGTTCAAGTGTCTTTCGGTGGCCGCTCAGGAGGAAGGGTCACCTCATAGCTGGGAGATGAATCTGGCCCCTTGGACTGCACTCCAAACCTAGAGTTCTCAGCCCACACACCACCACCAAACAGACTCCTGGTAACAGATGACAAGGAAAACTGTTCCTGAAACAATCCACACGCAGAGCCTTCAGCTCCATTGATAGCTTCAAAAATGATCTGGTGTGTTAGTCAATAAACACAGAAGCCCTAGCCAAAAAAAGAATAATAAATAAATGAACGAGGGCTCCACGGTTTACTCAACGAGCATGCGTTATGCCTACCAGAAGCTAGACACACGGTACACAGTAGGAAAAATGTCACTAAGACTTGGGGCTAGCTTGCTGGGAGAACTCCAAGTGGCCAATGACTGCTGAAGCCTCGCTCTTCCCTGTCACTGAGCACAGTGCCCACTGAAGGGAAGGTCACACGCCTGCCATGGACGGGTGATAAGAGAGGGGTGGATAGATGAGCGGGTGGGTCAGGGAATAGCAGTGGGCGGCCTGAGAGACCGATGATGAACGGAGATCCTCCAGCAGCTCAGAGCCTAGCCGCCCTCCGTGTCAGAGAGCCATGAGCATGACCGTGGAGAGCCTGGGACCACGGCCACAACCCAGGTCTGAAGAGCTTGCTGCTCCTATTGTCTTTCAAGCAGGGGTGACATGCTTTGATTTCTTTGGTCCCTTCGGCTGCTGTTTTGTGACGATTCTGTGGGAACAGGTCCCACCCCACAGCAGCTGTGGGAACAGCCCCATGCTTCCTTCCAGAACCAGACCCAGGTTCCTTGCCTAATATCCTCCTGGATGAGGGAAGGTGCCGCAACGACGGTGATGGCGTTGACTTTTCAACATGGCTTTGGCTGGGAAAGGGAGGACAGTGCGAGGTTAATCATCCGCCCTTCCCAGAAAGCAAACAAACAAGCAAGGAAAGGGCAGATCCCAGCGCCAGCCTCTGGGAAGCAGCACAGGAGCCTTCAACTCATTCCTTAATTATCTCAGCTGCAGTGACTTCACAGTTCCCAGAAGAGGAGGCAGAGGCAGCGCTGTACCTCGAGAGCATGAGACCTCAGGTTGGACGCCCAGTCCTGCACAAACGTGTGTGTCAAGCCAGCCCTCAGAATTTCTAGGTCATCTGCGGTTACATAAGGAGTTCAAGGACAGCTTGGGACACTTGAGACCCTGTTTCCAAAATAAGAAAAATGGCGGGGTTGGGGGGGGGCATCACTGGCTTCCAAAGCCCCATGATTCCAGTTTGATCTCCAGGACCCAGATACTGTCGGCTCCTATGGCAAGATGGGAGGCAGGGGCTGGAGGTCCCCTGGGAGGCTCATGGGTGGGCTAGCCTGGAGTACGCAGCATGGTGGTAGGAACAAGACAGAGACTCTTCCCAAAAAATCAAGGGAG